CTACTAGCTGGAAAAAATGCAGTTGATAGTTAAAGTCAGCAATTTGTACTCCACTTCTGTCAATAGGGCGTGGAAGTTGACCTCAAAAACCTACATGTAGGTGATTTTACTAGGTTTTTCCAGTCAAGGGCAAAGAATGGGTTCTGAACAAAAAATAAACCATTCCAATTTACAACACATTCAAAAAATATTGCAAGTTGATTACTATAGTAAATGGAAGAAATGTGGACCTCCACTTCCGTTCATTGGGTGAATTGGGTGAATTCAAACACGGGAGTCTGTGGCTAGACTAGTCAGTGTTTGGTACCAAGATGTTCACATGAAAAGTGAATGTGAACTGGCGAGACTTGCATGCTCTATAATTGTACGTATAATCTGTGTAGCACCACTAGTCTGTTGTATTACATTATGAGCTCCATGTCTGTATGATGTTTAAATGCAAAGCAATATTCTAATATTTCTTATAGATGGACTCAAGGGTACTTCGAATTTGGGTAATTGAAAAATCAATGCTGTAAAATATGAATGTCGTTGTAAAGTTAGCATCACACAAGATGCATCTTAATTTGCACAGTATCCGAGGAATTGCTGTTTTTTATATGTTCATTAAAGCTGCTATTTCCTTGTGTAATTTAAAACTCTAAACACAAATAATACAGAAATATACTATCACCAAATTGGTGTTTGAGCTCTTACGTCTTTCTGACACCTAGTAATATTTGAGAAAAAAAAATTGCAGGGCAAACCATGTTTCTAAAAGTCACATACTTTTTACAGGACAAACAAATTTGCGTGTAAAAGCAAGATCAGTGATAAAATACACAAAAGTGTACACTAGCAACATTTAAACAAACAGTGATTTTTCTGAATTTTGTTTTTAAAACCTAATTCTTGCTTGTACAAATGTAATTGTTGAAAAATCCCTACTGAGTAAAAGAGCTTGCTGGTCAATATTGAAAGTACAAACATATACCCTCAATATTCATGCCACAAAAGTAAGCCAACATATTGGTCAGCAAAGGGGATGACAATGGTTTAAGTCTTTTGTGGCTTGTTTCTTTCTTCTCAATAATTAATTCCTGACAGACATATTAGACAATGCACAATATGTACACCTGTCAATCTTTCTGTGTGTTGCATTCTGATTGGTTGGAATTGATCAGCATTGGCTACTAATGGGCCACGCCCCTCCACAGCTGATCCAATCAAACATGAACGCTTATCTACGGCTTTTGCAAAATGGAAACCTCTGTGAAAATACTTGCTTTTGTAAGCGCCAAGCCGGAAACCAACAGTGTTATCTGTCAATGAAAATAAGACATGAAACTGAAACTTTTGCACAATATACCCAGGCCAAGTTTCATGAGACCTGACAAGAAATTTGGGGAATAACTGAGAAAAAAAATTCCGAAACTTTCTGTTGCGGTTTTCATAACCAGGCGCGGATCCAGGGGTGGGCCGCAGGGGCACGTGCCCCCCGTCTAATTGACTCCACACAAAAAAGGGGGAAAAAGAAAGGGGAAAAAAAGAGGGAGGAGAGCGAAAAGAGGGGAAGGAGGAGGCAACCTCCTTACAAAAATACCGGCGCCGATATTAAACATCAGCCTGCAAACATTGCGTAGTGGCAGTATGACAGCGAGCTCGAGAGTCGATCGAGAAGCTTCGAAATAAACCGCGATCCCACCGTACGTACCTCGTATAACGTAACCCTGCATGTACATGTATGTATACTTATGTACGTACGATGCATTCTCTACGAAAAAGCACGTGCAGCTTTTTGCTGTGTTGCGCGACACAGGGGTGTGTTTTCGTAATAACAATTTGCCATTATTTCCACGCGCTTGTAAATTACAAACTATAATTTTCACGAAGTCCAAAACATTTCATTGTTTTAAAATGAGTTCTTCAACGTCATCATACAATTTTCGTAAAGACTTCATTCGAGAAACGATGTAAAACCCTGAAAAAAAATAACACCCCTGAAGATATACATGGATCAGTCCATAAAAAGTCTTCTTCTTTTTTTACGGAGAATGGCGCGATCCGTCTGGTTTTGACATTACTACGCGTTGCTGAAAATACAAATCTGATAAGTTTGGTACTTAAAAAGGATCTGTTTGTTCTTAGGACAAAAAATCAGCAGTTATAGCCAAGAGGCAAGTTTTAGCACCCGAGACATGCTCTGGCAATTTAGACGGAACGCGGTGTGTTGCTTTTTCAAGTGCATGCAAGCGAGGAACTTTGTTATCGGAGTTCGCCGGTGGCGGCCGCGGGCCGGCGCCCATCCGTGACGGGTCGGGATATGTATACACCAATTCCTGTATTTTTTTACGTAAGGCTATAGGCTTACACTATGTTCCAGGCGGCCACGGCAATCCCGTTTCTGGCCACCGTGGACAAAACGGTATGGACGTGAGACAAGGCCGGGGGACAGGATGGGCAAACGTGACAGGCTGTGGATGCCGGGCCAGATTTTTAAACTGTCAAAAAATTTGCCACGGCAGTCACGGTGCGGATGAGAAACCTAGTAGGCCGTAGTAAAACGGGGTGAACGCAACAAAACGTGACAGTACGTGATAGGCCGTAACAAAACGTGGAGACGGTCCGTAGAAGGACGGGAAGCATTCCCCGGCATCTTACCGGTCCTTTCAAGTTTTGTCAAGTTTTGTCACGTTCTGCCGCATGTAGCGGGCGTTTTGTCACGGTTGCTGCGCGTTTTGTCGCGTTTTGCTTCGTTTCTCACGGCAAGCTAGGGTGTACGGTAGCCGTTTCGTCGCGTTCAACGGTTTACGGGCCCGGTGCGATGCGGCGCGTTGCGTTCTACTACAGTCTGATACGGCGAGCGCGGTCTGGGAGGGAGTATAAAAGCATACAATGATTGCTATTGCTTGGGAGGCTTTCTTTTCATACCGTGGTCATAAACTTGCTCCGAAGCTGCCCGGCGTACACGTTTCATCCGTAGAAAGCCTTGACAGAGCGCGACAAAACGTGTCAGACTTTAATTAGAACGTGAGGAACGTGAGGGACCCCAGAGGGACCCATCAGAACGTGACAGGCCAGGAGAGAACGTACTGGCATTCGTGGTAGACCGCGGGCCGAACCGTAAAGTGCGCCTTTGAGCCTCCGGGACTCAGCAACCCCTTCCCCTCCCCCCCCCCCCACGGCCCATCACAGTTACCGTGATAGACGGTGAGAAAACTTAGCAGGACCTAAAAAAAAAACTTGACTACAAAGAAAAAAAAATTGCCAAAATCCCACGGCGCACTACGTTTCGAGGAAACGGGGCTGCCGTGACCGCCGGGAACATATTGTAAACCTAGTCTAACAAAATGACAAAAAAACCTTCACAATGTATCATACCATGTGTGAATTGCAATCATGGCGCCGAAAGGCCCGATGACTATTTTCTGTATAGACGAGTCGCATGTATACGAACTACGATGAGTTTATACAATTTGTCTTGCTGCGTCACCGATCTCCCGATGTCATGTAGGCCTACGTGTACAAAACTAGGCCCTATTCTTGAAATTGAAATGGACTGAATTAAAATCTAGAACAGTTCTGTAAAATGTTTGGGCAATTACATTATGCATGCATGAGATAAGTCATGAGATAAAACTGAGCTGTGAAGTTACAATGTGCATGGAGGCCTATTTGCTCCTCTGTTTTAGTTTGATTGAATTATTTTAAACTTGAATTCAATTTACATGTTCAAGCGGTTTATTCTTATTGATCAACTAAAAATTTCAAATTGAAACAAAGCATTACAAAGCATCCTTGCAACAGTTTACAAACTAAGTCTATACAATTCCTTTTTGAAAATATAATGCACGAAAATATGCAGACAACAATACGTGGTTGTCAAGTGAAGAACAGAAGAATCTTAAAGAGGTTTGTAATAGTAAGAGTATATTTTAAATCAATAACAAATCCATATAATCTTTAAACATTTTTCTCAAATAAGTCGGGGTAAAAGGGGCCAGGAATCGCCTCAGATTGCACCACAGAGCATCTAGAATCCAAAATTTCCCAGGGCCCGCTGGCATTAGTCCTCCGAGCAAATTAACGCATTGTTGCAACAGTTTATAACAAACTAAGTCAATAAAATCCCTTTTCAAAAATAAAATGCAACAGAACATGCATGAAGACGAAACATATGGTCTTCAACTTTGAAGTACACAGTATAAAACTCAACGCTTGTAAAAGCAAGAGTTTATTTTTTTTTAAATCCTTATATTTTAATCGTAAAAACTTTTGCTCAAATAATTCAGGGTAAAGGGGCCAGGAATCGCCTCAGATTGCACCACAGAGCATCTAGAATCCAGAATTTCCCGGGGGCCTTAAACGGGCCCCGGACCCCACGCCGTAAGGGCTTCGCGCTCCGCGCTCGCATTAATTCTCGGAGCATGCTCTAAAGGTGTGCCCCCCGTCTAAAGAAATCCTGGATCCGCGCCTGATAACAGGCACATTATGTACATGTGTGCACACTTTATACCCAGGCGAGGGGGTGCTTGTTAAGACGGATAATGTAACAACAATGGACTGATAGTGTAGTACATTTTTACTACACTATCGGTCAATTTGTGTGACATTATCATTATCGGTTAGTGATACAGTATCGGTCAATTTGTGTGACATTATCAGTTGGTGATACATTATCCGTTGGTTACTACATTATCAGTTGTAACAACCTGCTGTATCAGATTGGGACCAGCCAGCCAACCCCAGCAAGCCTGATGGTCAAGTAGTTGAGACATTTGCACTAGGAAGCAGGAGATTGTTGGTGCGAGTCTCACTCGAGCTGCTTTTGAATTGTGAAGTTTTGGTTTTGTGTTCATTTTTTTGTTTTTTGTTTTTAAACATTTTTTTTAACCAACTCCCCCCCCCCTTTTAATCTTTGGGACTTTTGTGTGTGGAAAGGAAGTTTATTTCAGAAGTTGGCCCAAAGTTTGCTGAGTTTTAATTGATTCTCAAGAAAAATGAGCTCATTTTCTGGACTTTTAATGAAATTTCAGGGCAGCTGTATATGTAAGTCCACTTGCCAGAAAACTGTGTCTGGAAACAGTTTTTTTGTCAACGAAGATCACATTTCCATTCTGGCCCACAACCATCCCATGTCTTTGGCGGGTAGCTCACCTTTGTTGCTTCAGCCACGGAGACATCTCCCCAATGTTCCGTTGCAGCATCTTGGATAAATTCCTCAGAAACTCCCTGGTGTTGGTCTATTTGGTGGATAGCTGGTCCTCATACAGCTGGTTCCACAGTGGAGTCACCATGTTGTTTAACCTGTAGATTGGGAAAAGATGTGAAAAGCACATCCAGTATTCCAGAGTCTTAACAAATTTTGGAAAAAGTGAATAGCTCAACTGCTATAAGCCTTTTTCGATATATGGCAGACATAATACAAGGGTGTTATTTGATTTGGGTATATTGGGGTAACTTAATATGCAAAAGACTAGACCCAAACCAAATAGCGCCCTCGTATTGTGTGCACCGTATCTCCAAAGGGTAATGGATTGTGTGTGGAACTTGTCATCTTTCTACATACAACCATTCTCCTAACTTCAGTTCATAGTTCTGGTAGTGCATGAGCGAATTAAAGATTAAGCTTGAGACAATGAGGGTAATGTGTTCAACTTAGACAGTTTATCAAATAAAATAAGAACCATCTGAAACTGTGAATCACACACACTCTACACAGACATGCCACCTTTAATGCTGTACCTTCTAGGGAAAAAAAACAAGGAAAACTGTCCACATAACAGTTTTATTCAACAAATGCCGGATGAAGTACTAAATTTACTTAAAGTTCCGTGCTATTTTCGAGTTTCATCCCGAAAAACAGATTTCTTTACCAATCTGCTATTTTTCAAGCAATACAAAAGTTATTTACTTTTGAATGAAACACCAAACACAAAAAAGCTCACGTTCAGTTATTGAATTATTACTTTACAATTCCAAATTATTGGCTGCCAAACATAATTTCTGTTCTTGCTGGGTAGGCTGGTTCCCCCCCCCCCCCCCACAATCAGTATCAATAATGTACGGACGGGAGCCAATCTGTTGGCAAAGCTGGTCATCAGTTTGGGCCAAGAACAAAAAGAAAAGTTCATGGGTAATTTCTTAGTTTAACATTTCATCACCGACACCACGAACTGACACCTGGTGATCAGCGCTGCAGAAATACAAATCGGAGAAAAACGCTTTTAAAGGTTTGACACGAATTTACTCACTAAAATAATCCATCTATCTTAGAGGTTTTGGTATCACTTAACATGAAAATGCTTAAACTACTCAATTATAAACGTTATATTGTGAAAATCTGCTTAGTTAATTAGAAATTAAATGATTAAGATGGGTGTCAGTTCGTGAAACCCAAAATTTATGTGTTTTCGGAGAGTGCACGCATGCAACAGCATTAGTGAGTGTCACTTCGTGAAAACCTAAATTGACGCATTTTGGGAGAGTGCGCGCACACACTGCGCATGTGCGCACTCTCCGAAAACACGTAAATTTTGGTTTTCACGAACTGACACCCTGTGCAGGGTCACTTCGTGGTAACAAAAAATACCAGAATTGACCAATTTTTTTGAAAATTCACTAGTAAAATTTGCTTATTTTAGATGATTTCAGCAATTTTAACTTCGTCATGTGAAACTTCATGATACAAACTGCTTATATGTGCAAAAAAAGAAAATTTGAATTTTTAATTTTTTGTGTACACATGTGATGCAGAGGGTGTCAGTTCGTGGTGTCGGTGACGATTTGATAGCAGAAGTCTACATGTAAGTACACTTTCAATTTCAAGCAAGAGAGTGTAGGAATTCCATGGTTTCAAATCTTTGTTGATGCAGTGACTATTTGTATCTGTATTTTAAATGTCTTTCTTGATTATCCAAACACCAAATCTAAAGCTTGTGTCAAGATTCTAAATGTGAGATATAAATAAAGGTGTTGTAAGCAAAATGTAGCGAACGACCTGAAATATTTTTTTGATCGGCATCTAATTTTATTTAGTTATAGATAATTGAAGTGTTACGTTATGTCTGTGATCTATTATGAGCTGTAAAACTCTGTAAAAAGTGCAGAGTGCCATTTCACTTTTTTTTTAAGCAACCTAGATATGAGCAAAACCGACGGATTACATAATGTACATGTAAAAAAAGTCTTGAAGAGAAAATAAAAAGTTATTCTGAAGCATATCTATGCCAAAGTCAACTGAAACTCTATTGCCTACTTTGGTTTAGTATGTATTCAAAACAAGGAACAAAGAACTAATCCTTACAAATCTTAGAGATGAAAAAACACTAAGGGGACAAAATGCAGAAGCTTTTTGTTTCAACTACACATTGCTCCAGGTCTTATTTTCGCTATTAGTATAAAACTGGAGTGATCTTGAAATAGGACAGAACACTCTTTGCTACATCTGAATAAAAATGTTGGATATGGAGAACGATGAAGTTGAAAAGCACCTTGAGAACTTTATCAAGACTCACAAAAGAAATTAACAAATACTATGGTTAAGTACTGAAATCAATGCACCAATTGGCCTCCTCTTAAACTTGGTCTTTCTCTTCACAGTCATTCGAGTGAAGTCCATGCGTACATTCATCAACATGTACTTATCCAATCTGGCTGTGGCTGACTTGCTCTTCCTTAAGACTCAATGTATATTTGTATTGTGTTCATCCGAAGTGTACAAAGCATTCCAGAGTGTCAAATAAAACCCGGGACATACCGTTATTTTGTTTTACCATTTTGGATTTCCTCAAAAACAAAAACAGTAAACAAACCATTGACCGTTTTGTCGTTTTACAGTTTTATAAAACGACAAACAGTATTAAGATAAATACAGTTTATCCATTTTATAAGTTTAGGAAAATTCATTATAGCACAACGATCCATTATTTTTGTTTTACAGTTTTACACAAATAACTTTGAAAAACAGCAAAACGGTCAGTATTGAATACACACTGTTTTTTTATTTTAGTGTCATAGTTAACAGTCCGTGGTGCATTTTGTGGCGGTGGGCAAGGGGGTGGAGGGGGACCCTGCTTTACACGAGTGTTGGCTCGGCATATTTAATGCGTGGTGTGATTCCTGGTGCGGACCCTGACCCCCTTCTCATGCGATTCAGTTGGTGGGGCTTAAAGAGTTGCAAGCAAAAATGGCGCTGGAAAACTGCAAGGGAGGGCATTACTTTTCACAATGGATACAGGATGGTAAGACGTTTGATGAAGTGCAGATATTTTGAAGGAAATTGTAGTTTAAGTCGACACAGCTCTTCAATAGCTAATTCGCAAATTCTGTCGTGAGAACGAAAATGTAAGGAAGGCCCAGGCAATGACTCGATCCCAAGGATAAAAATAAAGCAACTAACCGTTTAACGCTTTCTACAATTAAAAACAACAACAAAAAGTATTTTTGTGTGTGTGACTTAATACCGTTTGACCGTTTCACAAAACTGTAAAACGACAAACGGTCAAAAGTTCGTTCGCTGTGTTTGTTTTTGAGAAAATCCAAAACGGTAAAACAAAATAACGGTATGTCCCGGGATTCAAATACATGTTTGTTGCTGTTTCTAGTTATTTTGTAGTGATCATAGCAGCTGAGAGATTCTCTGCAGTGCGCAATCCTCTGACATTCAAGGAAAAAGCCTCTAAATCTCGAGCAGCAAAGATATCAGCAGGACTCTGGGTGCCAACAATTATTGTTGGTGTGATTCCAATATTCTTGCCAGAGACTTTCTTTAAAGACATCATTTTTTGAATTAATTTCGTTACCCACACTACCTGTTTAGTAGCCACTCTTGCTTTGTACATCTTGGTAGTACTGTAGTTAAAGTGTGCAAGCAATCAGCACAGTTGCCAAATTGTCCCAAGCAAGCAGGCAAGCTCCTCTGTATGGTTATCATCAATACTGCCATTTTTTTTCATTCTGAACTCACTGAACGCTTCAGCTGCAATTATTTATACTCTGGGAACAACTTATACTTTGCCTGCCCAAGCTATTGAATATCTAAAACTTGCAGAAAATCTTCAGACTTATCAATAGCTCAATTAATTCCCTCGTCTACAGTGCTGACTAACGCTGACTATCGTGCAGCTGTAGTCAAGGCTTTCTCATTCCTCAAACTGTGCTGTCGTTATAAGATGGAATTTTTGCGTCGGGGTGATATAAATCAAATTAGGTTTTGCCCTGCACCAACGTTTTTAAACACTGTATACTCAGTGTATTACCTCCCGAGTGAAAGTTGGAAAAAATCACTCGGGTGGGACTCCAACCCACGACCTCCTGCTTTCTAGTGCAGATGTCTTACCACTCGACCACCGAGCTAACGGGATCGGGTGGCCGGTTCGAATCTGATGTACATAGCGGCAGGTACCGCATAAACTACATGTATTATAAGATGGAATTTTCTGTTCGAACCGGCCATCCGATCCCGTTAGCTCGGTGGTCGAGTGGTAAGACATGTGCTGTCGTTGCTTCCCAAGACGGAATCGCAGCCAGGGAAGCAGATTGAGCTTCATGTGATTCCACATGCAGGCAGAAAATGACCAAGAGCACCATGCTGCCAGGCCAAGCGGCAGCAAGCCACCAAGCCAAGGGCATGTACAACACACAGCGAGTCAGCAGTCACTGGAAAGCTGTCAAGAACAATGTTCCTTTTTCTCAGTGCTTGCACACGCGGTACATAACGCATTGATATTCGTGTATGAGGCAACTTTCTCTCAGGAGGTAAAGCCCCTGTCACACTGTCTGTGATCTTATGTGCGCTCTTACTGCGTCCTTGAAAAATAGCTGGGGTGCAAAAACAACTACTAGATCGCAGCAACAACTACATACAAGTTGCCAGATGGGCCCCGGAGGGTCTTAATGGTCTCCGATGAGTGCCAAGATCTTTGAACATGCCCAAAACAATCGCAACACCTCTACGCTCTGGCCAAGGCGCCGCAATGACGCAACTCGAGGGGCTGTGCGAGCGTGAATCGTGCGACATTGAAGTGGCATTGAGGCAGCCTAGGGGCAAGACAGTTGATGTACATGTAGTCTCCATGAGAAAGTAACTTGACTGCGATGAACTTGTAGAATAATTTTGAAACTGGACTGTGTATTGACCGTTTTGTCGTGGTATTTATACAGCGCAAGTGACGTCACATGAGCGTATTTTGGTCTAATAGAGAGCGCGACGCGAGGTATTAGGACGTATCAACAGCGAGCAGAGCGTAGTGTGAGCGCAGTAACAGCGCAGCGGCAGCGACTAGATAGAGTAATTGAGCTTGACA